CTGTCAATGTATGTCCATATACATCTATCTATCTATCTATCTATCTATCTATCTATCTATCTATCTATCTATCTATCTATCTATCTATCTATCAATCATGTCCATATATATCAATCTATGTCCATATATCTCTATCTGTCTGCCTATGTTCATATCTATCTGTCTGTCTGTCTGTCTATCTATCTATCTATCTATCTATCTATCTATCTATCTATGTCCATATACATCTACCTATGTGTATATATCTCTCTATCTGTCCATATATATCAATCTTTGTCCATATATCTCTATCTGTCTCTTTCTCTATGTCCATAAAATCAATCTATCTATCTATGTCCAAATACATCTATCTATCTACCTATTTTTTCTCTGTCTTATCATTTCCCTATCAGTCATTCATTATTTCTATCTATCCATCTAGTATCTATCTTCTTTTTGAACGCCCTATCTATCTTGCTAATAATTCCTCTGTCTGTCATTCATTATTCTATCTATCTATCTATCTATCTATCTATCTATCTATCTATCTCAATCATTTATCTCTATCTGTCTCGCTCTCTAATCATTCCCCTGTCTTACTTGTCATTTATTATTCTATCTCCCATGTATCTTCTTTCTGAACGTTCTTATCTCTCTCGTTCTAATAATTATCCTGCCTGCCTGTCATTCATTCACATTTATTTCTTTCAATCTAAGCTATCATCTTCTTTCTGTAGGTCTCATCTGTCTCTCTAGTCATTAGCCTGTGTATTTTATCCCACTTTTTATTTTCTATTTATTTGTATTTTATTTTATCCCACTTTTTATTTTTTATTTATTTGTATTTTGATCACCATTTTTATTTGTATTTATTTGTATTTTATTTTACCCCACTTCTTATTAGTATTTATTTGTATTTTATTTTGCCCCGCTTTTTATTTGTATTTATTTGTATTTTATTTATCTCACTCTTTATTTTTTATTTATTTGTATTTTATTTTACCTCATTTTTATTTGTATTTTATTTTATCCCACTTTTTATTTTTTAGTTATTTGTATTTTATTTTATCCCACTTTTTATTTGTATTTATTTGTATTTTATTTTACCCCACTTTTTATTTGTAATTTATTTTATCCCACTTTTTATTTGTATTTTATTTGTATTTATTTATTTTATTTTATCCCACTTTTTATTAATATTTATTAGTATTTTTATCCCACTTTTTATTTGTATTTATTTGTATTTTATTTCATCCCACTTTTTATTAATATTTATTAGTATTTTTATCCCACTTTTTATTTGTATTTATTTGTATTTTATTTTATCCCACTTTTTATTAATATTTATTAGTATTTTTATCCCACTTTTTATTTGTATTTATTTGTATTTTATTTTATCCCACTTTTTATTAATATTTATTAGTATTTTTATCCCACTTTTTATTTGTATTTATTTGTATTTTATTTTATCCCACTTTTTATTAATATTTATTAGTATTTTTATCCCACTTTTTATTTGTATTTATTTGTATTTTATTTTATCCCACTTTTTATTAATATTTATTAGTATTTTTATCCCACTTTTTATTTGTATTTATTTGTATTTTATTTTATCCCACTTTTTATTAATATTTATTAGTATTTTTATCCCACTTTTTATTTGTATTTATTTGTATTTTATTTTATCCCACTTTTTATTAATATTTATTAGTATTTTTATCCCACTTTTTATTTGTATTTATTTGTATTTTATTTCATCCCACTTTTTATTTATATTTATTTGTATTTTATTTTATCCCACTTTTTATTAATACTTATTAGTATTTTTATCCCACTTTTTATTTGTATTTATTTGTATTTTATTTTATCTCACCTTTTATTTATATTTATTTGTATTTTATTTTATCCCACTTTTTATTAATATTTATTAGTATTTTTATCCCACTTTTTATTTGTATTTATTTGTATTTTATTTCATCCCACTTTTTATTTATATTTATTTGTATTTTATTTTATCCCACTTTTTATTAATATTTATTAGTATTTTTATCCCACTTTTTATTTGTATTTATTTGTATTTTATTTCATCCCACTTTTTATTTATATTATTAGTATTTTTATCCCACTTTTTATTTGTATTTATTTGTATTTTATTTTATCCCACTTTTTATTAATATTTATTAATATTTTTATCCCACTTTTTATTTGTATTTATTTGTATTTTATTTTATCCCACTTTTTATTAATATTTATTAGTATTTTTATCCCACTTTTTATTTGTATTTATTTGTATTTTATTTCCCACTTTTTATTAATATTTATTAGTATTTTTATCCCACTTTTTATTTATATTTATTTGTATTTTATTTTATCCCACTTTTTATTAATACTTATTAGTATTTTTATCCCACTTTTTATTTGTATTTATTTGTATTTTATTTTATCTCACCTTTTATTTATATTTATTTGTATTTTATTTTATCCCACTTTTTATTAATATTTATTAGTATTTTTATCCCACTTTTTATTTGTATTTATTTGTATTTTATTTCATCCCACTTTTTATTTATATTTATTTGTATTTTATTTTATCCCACTTTTTATTAATATTTATTAGTATTTTTATCCCACTTTTTATTTGTATTTATTTGTATTTTATTTTATCCCACTTTTTATTAATATTTATTAGTATTTTTATCCCACTTTTTATTTGTATTTATTTGTATTTTATTTTATCCCACTTTTTATTAATATTTATTAGTATTTTTATCCCACTTTTTATTTATATTTATTTGTATTTTATTTTATCCCACTTTTTATTAATATTTATTAGTATTTTTATCCCACTTTTTATTTGTATTTATTTGTATTTTATTTTACCCCACTTTTATTAGCATTTATTTGTATTTTATTTTATCTCACTTTTTATTTGTATTTATTTGCATTTTATTTTATCCCGCTTTTTATTAGTATTTATTTGTATTTTATTTTATCTCGCTTTTTATTTCTATTTATTTGTATTTTATTTTATCCCACTTTTTATTTGTATTTATTTGTATTTTATTTTATCTCACTTTTTATTTTTTATTTTTTTGTATTTTATTTTACCCTGCTTTTTATTAGTATTTATTAGTATTTTATTGTATCCCATTTTTCATTAGTATTTATTTGTATTTTATTTTATCTCACTATTTATTTTTATTTTATTTTATCTCACTATTTATTTGTATTTATTTGTATTTTATTTCATTATTTTATTTCATATTTATTTTATTATTCATATTTATTTATTATCCATATTTATATTTATTTTACTTTTATTTCATTATTATTTTTATTTCATTCCCATTCCTCTTTCTATCTATCTTCTTCTTTCTGTATATCTCATCCATATCTATGTATGGATACATCTATCCAGTCCATTGCCTTCCTCTGAGGCTGAGAGAGTGCAACTGGCCAAGGTCACCCAGTGGAGAGCAATCATTAATATTCATAAGTGGGTGGAGCCATTCATATGTGGTCAAAGGGTGGGACATAGATAAGATGGAAAGAGCTTCCAGCCAATGGAGGAGCTAATCATTGATGCCTATAGGACTTGAATCAAGGGGTCTGGCCATTCATGTAAATTCAGAAGCAGGACAGCCAATAGGAGGCTTATAGGGCGTGGTTATGCAGATAAAGAGGAGGAGTTAAAACTAATAGTTTGAATCACCCGCAAACAGGGCGTGGCTAATGCAAATAATGTGTGTCCAGGACAGCCAATAGGAGGCGTATAGGGCGTGGTTATGCAGATAAAGGGTAGAAGTTAAAACTAATAGTTTGAATCAGCCGGAAACAGGGCGTGACTTATGCAAATAATGTGTGTCCAGGACAGCCAATAGGAGGCGTATAGGGCGTGGTTATGCAGATAAAAGGGAGGGGGGTTAAAACCAATAACTTGAATCGCTTGCAAATAGGGCATGGCTTATGTAAATGAGGTGTGCCCAGGACAGCCAATAGGAGGCGTATAGAGTGTAAAGGGAGGGGGTCAAAACAAATAACTCGAATTATTTGCAAATAGGGCGTGGCTTATGCAAATGAGCTGTGTCCAGGAAGGTAATAGGATGTGGTTATGCAGATCAAGGGGAGGAATTCAAACCAATAGCTTGAATCAACCGCAAATAGGGCGTGGCTTATGTAAATTATATGTGCCCAGGACAACCAATAGGAGGCTTATAGGGCGTGGTTATGCAGATAAAGGGGAGGAGTTAAAACCAATAGCTTGAATCACCCTCAAATAGGGCGTGGCTTATGTAAATGAGTTGTGCCCAGGAAGGCAATAGGAGGTGTATAGGGCGTGGTTATGCAGAGAAAGGGGAGGAGTCAAAACCAATACATTAAAACCAATAGCTTGAATCACCCACAAACAGGGCATGGCTTATGTAAATAATGTGTGCCCAGGACAGCCAATAGGAGGCCTATAAGGCGTGGTTATGCAGATAAAGGGGAGGAGTTAAAACCAATAGCTTGAATCAGCCGCGAACAGGGCATGGCTTATGTAAAAGAGATGTGTCCAGGACAGCCAATAGGAGGCCTATAGGACGTGGTTATGCAGATAAATGGGAGGGGTTAAAACCAATCGCTTGAATCAATTACAAACAAGGCGTGGTTTATGCAAAGGTATGTGGATCCTTCCAGGGGCGTGGCTATGCCGACGCCTAGCTTCCCAGCCGGACCAATGACTGGGAGAAACCAACGCGGGTGAGCCAATGGGACGCTTCGTGGGGCGTGTCTATGCAAATACTGTTTCTCAGATGAAAGAAGAGTATCAATGGAAGCCGGCAGGGGGAGCCCACGGCGAGGAGGCGTGGCTATGCAGATACAGGGCTTTGTAGCAGCCAATGGCGAGGGAGGGAAACAGGAGTGCGGGGTTGAGCGGGCCAATGGGCGTAGGGGGGAGGCGTGGCTATGCAGATAGCGTATGCAAATAGGGCGCCCCGGTGGGCGGGGGTATGCAGATGAGGCGGTGACAGCGGCGACGGGCGCTGCTGCTGGGGTCGTCTTTGGCGGCGGCGGCGGCGAGAGGGCGGAGGAGGATGCTGCGCGCCGCCTCGTTCCCATCCTCGTCGAGCCCCGAGCGGGGGCGGCTCCGCGGCTGGATGGAGGGCACGCTGGCCGGGCTGTGCGAGCTGGCGCTGCTCCGGGAGAGGCAGGAGAGGAGGGTCCGGCAGGCGCTGCGGATGCGCCCCGGGAAGAAGCCTGGCCGGGAACGCGCACGAGACCCCGCCGGCGCCGAGGAGCAGCAGCCCCGGGAGGACGAGGAGGAGGACGAGGAGGAGCAGGCGGTGAGAGGGGGAGGCAGGCTGGGGACCCATTGTCCGCACCTCCGGACCTCCATCCGGAGCAGATCCGGGGATGTGGAGTGGATGGAGAGAGGGAGGAATCCAATTCCCAATCCGGTTTCGGTCTTCAATCTGGATTCAATCCGGATTAAGAGTGTTCCTGGGGGTGTCTGGGAGGCGAATTATTATTATTATCACCATCATCATCATCATCATCTGGGTTCCCAATCCGGATTCGGTCCAGATTGGATCCTCAATCCGGAGTCAATCCGGATTAAGGGTGTTTGTTGGAGGGTCTGGGTGTCTGGAAGCTGAATTATGATTATTTTTAATTCAACTTCCATGTTTGGATTCCCGGATTAGGGCCACATTCACTCTTGAATCCGGAGTCAATCCGGATTAAGACTGTTGCTGGGGGGGGGGATGTATGGAAGGTGAATTATTACTATTATTAGGATTCCCAATCAGGATTCAGTCCAGATTGGATCCTCAATCCGGAGTCAATTCGGATTAAGGGTGTTTGTTGGAGGGTTTGGATGTCTAGAAGGCGAATTACTACTACTACTAATTATTATTTGGATTCCCAATCCGGATTCAGTCCAGATTGCCTCTTCAATCCGAAATCAATCCGGATTAAAGGTGTTGTTTTTTGGGATGGGGTGTCTGGAGGTCTGGAAGGCGAATTATTATTATTATTATTATTATTATTATCATCATCATCATCATCATCATCAGGATTCCCAATCCGGATTCTGTCCAGATTCAATCCTCAATCTGGAGTTAATCCAGATTAATGGTGCTGTTGTTGGGGGGGGGGGGGGGGGGGGGGGTTGAAAGGAGAATAATAATAATACTAATAATGATTTGGATATCCAAACCGGATTCAGTCCAAATTGGATCCTCAATCCGGATTAGGGAAATTGGTGGGGGCGGGGGGAGGGGAGGTTTAGTTCTCAATCCGGATTCAATCTGGTTCCGCAGCCTGTCATTAATTTGGATTAGATCTGGATTAGAGTGTATGGGAGGCAGGATTTGGTTGGTTGGCTGGAAGACCTTGAATGGCCCTCAGTTCGAACTGGATTGGCTGAAATCTCCCCCCATTGAGATGAATGGAGGGAATTAAAGGGGAGGGGGCTGAAGGAGCTGGAGGTGGGTTTCTCTGCATTTTTCTTAATGGGAGGCGAAGGGGCGGAGCTTGAAGGGAAGGTGGGCGGGGCCTAAGTGAGCCTATTTAGTTATAAGAGATATTGTGACTTAGGGATGTGGACTTTGGAACTCCCCGCCACTTGATTCATTTTACATTGATTTCTCCTGGATTTAATATTCTGCTTCTGTTTGGAGCCTTTTCGCACAAGAGGTTGACCGAAATAATAGTCTCATCCAAACAGGATTGCTGTGTTTTGGGAATTCTAGCGCCAAGGCCGGCCATTCCAGATATTTGCTGATTTTAATTACAGATTCCGCGCCTTCCTCGCTCTCTGCCTCTCGGTTTAATTAAAATTGCCTTCACGTTTTCTGAAACCGCACACATGATTCCAGGTGGGAATTAATGGAGCAGATAGACCAATATTCCCGCTTTGTGTCCAAAAACACGTCAACAAATCTGATTAACTCTGCTATTTATTTATTTACTATTATTTTTATTTATTCCATTGATTATTATTGTATATATTATTTTAATACTTTTGCTTATTATTTATTATCTTATTTATTTTTATTATTTACTATTATTCATGTCATTAATTATTTTATTATTTATTTCATTTATTATTGTATATATTATTTAAATACTTTTGCTTATTACTTATTATCTTATTTTTATTATTTACTATTATTTATGTCATTAATTATTATTTATTTCATTTATTATTGTATATATTATTTAAATACTATTGCTTATTACTTATTATCTTATTTTTATTATTTACTATTATTTATGTCAATAATTATCATTTTATTATTTATTTAATTTATTGTTGTATATATTATTTTAATACTTTTGCTTATTACTTATTATCTTGTTTATTTTTATTATTTACTATTATTCATGCCATTAATTATTACTTTTTTATTTATTTCATTTATTATCGTATATATTATTTAAATACTATTGCTAATTATTTATTATCTTATTTATTTTTATTATTTACTATTATTCATGTCATTATTTATTAAATAATAAAACAATAATTAATGACATAAATAACAGTAAATAATAAAAAAAAAATATTTCATTTATTATTATATATATTATTTTAATACTTGTATATATTATTTTAATACTTTTACTTATTTATTATCTTGTTTATTTTTATTATTTGCTATTATTATTAATAGTTATAATAGTTATTTAACTACCAATTGCTTATTACTATGAAATAGTTTGATCCTATAACAAATAATAATAATAATAATAATAATAATAATAATAATAATTTGCTGTGACAATAATAATACCGGTGAGCCAAGCTGTGCCATGCATAGAAAATCAAATTATTATTATTATTGACACAAAAGCACAGTATGTCACAGCAAACAATTATTATTATTATTATTATTATTATTATTATTATTATTATTATTATTATTATTATTGTTTTGTGGAGATGGCCTTTTTCTGCACGGAAATTACAGAAATCCATTGTCTCTGCACAATCAGCGTCTTGTCTTCTCGGAGTATTTTCGAATGCAAGCGATGCTCTCTCGGACCGTTTCCAACAGAGAATAACTTACTTGAACTAGCTTTAGTAATAAGGAGTCACAGGCTGAGTTTGGCAGAGACTTTGCAAAACTACAAGGAGTCCTTTACACCGAGCCATGGCAGTTAAAGTGGTGTCAAACTGCATTCATTTCACAGTGTAAACACACTCCTTGCTGGATTTTGTGACTGTTTGCAAGAGGTCATCCAAGGTCATCTCAGGACAAGGGATGACCTTGGACCTTGTTGTTGTTGTATTATTGATAGCTCTTCTCTAAAGATTTGGTAAGTGACAATTGTTTTTAAGTGCCTCAAGACCTTGGCCTGCACTTAAAAACAATTGGTACTGACCAAATCACCATCTTCCAGCTGCAAAAGGCCACCCTACTTGGATTTGCGTGCATTATTTGCCGATACGTCACACAGTCCTGGACACTTGGGAAGGGTCCGACGTGTGATCGATGTGTGATGTTCTAGAGGCATTCTCTCCTGACGTTTCGCCTGCATCTATGGCAAGCATCCTCAGAAGTTGTGAGGTGTTATTATTATTATTATTATTATTATTATTATTATTATTATTATGTATTGTTGAGGACTTTCATGGCTGGAATCACTGTGCTATTTTTGGTTGTTGTAGTTTTTTTCGGGCTATATGGCCATGTTCTGGAGGCATTCTCTCCTGACGTTTCGCCTGCAACTATTGCAAGCATCCTCAGAGGTTGTGAGGTCCTCTAGAAGCATTCTCTCCTGACGTTTCGCCTGCATCTATGGCAAGCATCCTCAGAGGTTGTGAGGTCCTCTAGAAGCATTCTCTCCTGACGTTTGGCCTGCATCTATGGCAAGCATCCTCAGAGGTTGTGAGGTCCTCTAGAAGCATTCTCTCCTGACCTTTCTCCTGCATCTATGGCAAGCATCCTCAGAGGTTGTGAGGTACTCTAGAAGCATTCTCTCCTGACGTTTCACTTACATCTATGGCAAGCATCCTCAGAGGTTGTGAGGTCCTCTAGAAGCATTCTCTCCTGACGTTTCGCCTGCATCTATGGCAAGCATCCTCAGAGGTTGTGAGGTCCTCTAGAAGCATTCTCTCCTGACGTTTCGCCTGCATCTATGGCAAGCATCCTCAGAGGTTGTGAGGTTCTCTAGAAGCATTCTCTCCTGACCTTTCGCCTGCATCTATGGCAAGCATCCTCAGAGGTTGTGAGGTTCTCTAGAAGCATTCTCTCCTGACCTTTCGCCTGCATCTATGGCAAGCATCCTCAGAGGTTGTGAGGTTCTCTAGAAGCATTCCCTCCTGACGTTTCGCCTGCATCTATGGCAAGCATCCTCAGAGGTTGTGAGGTTCTCTAGAAGCATTATCTCCTGACCTTTCGCCTGCATCTATGGCAAGCATCCTCAGAGGTTGTGAGGTCCTCTAGAAGCATTCTCTCCTGACGTTTCACTTACATCTATGGCAAGCATCCTCAGAGGCTGTGACGTGTTGTTGTTGTTGTTATTATTAATATTATTATTATTGTTATGTATTGTTGAAGGCTTTCATGGCTGGAATCACCTGGTTGTTGTAGGTTTTTTCAGGGCTATATGGCCATGGTCTAGAGGCATTCTCTCCTGACATTTCGCCTGCATCTATGGCAAGCATCCTCAGAGGTTGTGAGGTCCTCTAGAACCATTCTCTCCTGACGTTTCGCCTGCACCTATGGCAACCATCCTCTGAGGCTGTGAGGTGTTGTTGTTGTTGTTGTTGTTGTTGTTATTATTATTATTATTATTATTATTATTATTATTATTTTGTATTGTTGAAGGCTTTCATGGCTGAAATCACTGGGTTGATATAGTTTTTTTCGGGCTATATGGCCATGTTCTAGAGGCATTCTCTCCTGACGTTTCGCCTGCATCTAGGGCAAGCATCCTCAGAGGTTGTGAGGTCCTTTGGAAGCATTCTCTCCTGACGTTTCGCCTCTGAGGTTGTGAGGTGTTGTTGTTGTTGTTATTATTATTATTATGTATTGTCGAAGGCTTTCATGGCTGGAATCCCTGGGTTGTTGTAGTTTTTTTGGGCTATATGGCCATGTTCTAGAGGCATTCTCTCCTGACATTTCGCCTGCATCTATGGCAAGCAAATAATAATAATAATAATAATTATCATTATTAAGTATTGTTGAATGCTTTCATGGCTGGAATCCCTGGGTTGTTGTAGGTTTTTCCGGGCTATATGGCCATGTTCTAGAGGCATTCTCTCCTGACGTTTCACCTGCATCTGTGGCAAGCATCCTCAGAAGTTGTGAGGTCTTATTGTTATTATTGTTGT